ATTCCTGCTCACCAGCTGATCACACTTTGCCAGCAGATCACACGTGCTTCTATCCAGGGTCCAGCTTCAGAGCTGTGGTGTCTCCAATGTCTAGCTCTCAGATCTCTTGTCTTTCTGTGTGGTTAGTCGGGCTTGAAGTTCACTAGTACATCACACACACGTTCTGACAAAGTAAATTGTTTATGAAGAGCAGATGGCAGCAGTCACCAGGCAAATGTATTGACCAGAAGCCTGTTTACACATTAACAGCACCTTCTGTTTCCTCCCTTTTTTCCCATTTTCCTGTGTTTGATCCACCCTGATGCACCTTGAGCCTTCCTTTTACCTGCATTTATTCCTTCCTGAAATATCTCATAAGTTTTACTCAGTTTCACAATTGCCCTCAAACATCCTGTGAGACATTTGCTATTTTAATGAGACCTATGGTAGTCTTTGTTAGTTTGGGGTTTTGTTTGAGTTTTTTTAATGATTATCAATTATATTGTCTTATCAGCTACAAATTTTCCATCTGAACCTCTTAAGAGTTGCACTGTAGGAGTTCCTTGCAATGGCCCTTCTATCAGCATCTTAAGAATGCCAGTGTTTGGTCCTGTTCCTTAGGATTTGTGCATCTGTGTGCTTGATTCAGTGCCTCTCCAGAGATTGTCTTTTATGTTGAGTAGCTATCAGCCAGATATCCCTGAAGTTGGAACTTCCTGGTTTACTTGTGGCCTTTCTGGCAGTGCTAGCAGTGTAATACAGGACAAAGCTAAGTAGGCATAACTGCTATTTTACATGTGGAAGACCGAAAACACGTCAAGTTCTGCTCATGAACTTTGGTAGCAAAAAGAACTATAAGCCCTAGGCCTGTCTTTCATCCACTAGATTGGCCTGCAGTGTCTTTCTCTTAACAGCGTCTCCCTTCTTTTAATTCTAGTTTTTAATAGTTTCCCTTATTTCCCCTTCATAATTTCTTTGTCTTAGTCATACATCTGGTAACAAAAGGCAGTCCAGTTCTTTGATCGACCTCACCTCAGACAGTTCGTGGGAGCAGCAAAAGCCTCACTTGGTCACTTCAGGCCCCAAATCCCGCTTGAGGCCGAAAAGTGCTTCATCTCCCTGGATCCCTTCCATCACCATCCCTAAGCCCTTTCAAATGACACTGCGGGAGGCTCGCAAAAAGTCCCAGCTGATGAAGTCATACATGTTTCTTGAACTAGATAAGCAGAGCGACAAAAGGCAAAGCCAGGATGAAGCTGAATGTCAGAAACAATTCCGGGCGCAGCCTGTACCTGCCCATGTGTTTCTGCCCCTTTATCAGGAAATAATGGAGCAGAATGAGATTCGCAGGCAAATAGCAACACAGAAAAGAAAGGAGCTGCTGCTTTCAACCCAGAAGCCCTTCAGTTTCCTGGAGAAGGAGGAGAAAAAGAAAGAAGCTATCAGACAGAAGTTCCTGGCAGCAGCAACTCCAAATGAGAGCTCCAACCAGAAGCAAGCCAGTAAAAAAGTTCCTAAATCTACTTACCACCCACTTCTTGGAGATAAACTCAAAGGTAAAATGCCAGGGCTCTTACTCTAAAAACAGCTCCCTGCCTGTCCCTCACTGTCTCCATGCTGGGAGGTAGGATCATGGCCCATAGGTGTTACTTGGAGTTAAAGCCAATATCATCGCATCCCCTGGTGTTGTCTAGTCCTTGTGTGCGTCACTGGTCACATTTCATCCAGATACTTTTACAGTGGAGTATCCTAAATGTAGTCTGGTATTGGAATTGGCAGCAGGAGTTCTGTGCCACTTCCCAGCACATGAGTACATTGAGCTCTTCAGACAGGGTCCCACACGCTTTTGCTGCAAACTGAGTTTGGGAATCCTTCCCTGTGCTGGATTCCATACCTTTGATTATGCTAAAGGGACTTAGATGATTTTTGGTACAAACATGAAGACAGATGTAGTGCCAGAAGCATCCAAGGTCTGTGCAGTATCTTGAAACTGACAGCTTTACTCCCTCCCACCCAAGTCATCTGTGCTGCACTGGACACCTAGGAGAAAAATATCCTTGAGCCCAAACCAGGCAGTTTGGTTCTAAGTGATAGTGCAGTAGTCCAGCCTCTCCTGCCAGTCTCTGATCTTTTCAGTTACCTTCCCTCTCCACCTTCTTAGGAAGTGTTAACATAGATGAGGTAGGTGTGAGGACCATTCTAGTCAGAGGAGCAGCCAAGGAAGTTTTCCTGGTGCTCACTTTCTTTCAAATGGATTAAACCCTCACAGTTGCAAGTTTGAAGTAAGCAATATAGACTTCACACTTGAATATAGAAACTAAACCAGCCCTTAGTAATCCTCATTGCTTTTCATAAAATATTTTTTTTTTAAACTGTTTTCCACTGATTTATTCTTGAGTGTACACAGTTCAGTTTTGACCAGAAAGCATTCTGCTCTGGTGTACTAAACTAAATAGAGGAGAAATAGAGCAAAGAATAAGCCACTGGTCTGTTTCTATTTGATTTATGAGAAAGGATGAACATTTCATACTTCAGTCAATGTAAACTTATAAATAGACTTTAAATAAAGCCTTATTTTGTAAGCAACAGTATTGATTTTTTTCTAAAAGCAGAAAAAGCCCAAACAACCCACAGCCAACTGTTTGCATTTTTCTCAAGTATTTAGTGCTGCACAGGAAAGGACTCAGTTTGACACTATATATCCTGGAACGTTCTATCTATGGGAAGTTTGTCACAGAAGTCACAAGACATGGTCCATTTAGTAAATGCTCCTTACTTAAAATCTTTTCCAGTATAGACACAGTGCTGGATGTTACACAGAAAAGCCATCATCTGTTACAAGTATATTTGAACAGCCTCTTTGGATCATAGAGTCAACATAAAGTCCCATGTGTAATGTAGAACCTTGATTAACACCTTGATTAACACAACACATCTGCAAGACAAAAGGGACAAGTTACCTGGTACCCCTAAGAACAGGAATATGAGGAGAAGGCCTGTTCAAGTAACTTAGTCTGATAAGTGAAAGAGGTATCTTGGAGATCAATGCCTAAGAGACTCTACCATGGCTTTTCTAGTATCTTTGAACTTTTTTTCCTGGGAGGCAGAGGGGCGAGAGGCTGGAAAGTGGGGAAAAAATACATAATGTCTGGTCTCTCCTGTATGTGTAGCTGCCATCATAAAAAAAAGTTGAGAGCTGTGCAGTGGTAATTTTATGTCACTCATTCTTCTCATTGCTTTGCTTTTGATTCTCTAGAAGCTGAACTCTACAGAGAAATCCGCATTCAAATGAGAGCCAAGGATCTGCTTGAGAGCTCCATAGCTCCAATAGATACTAGCAACTGTCGGAGAGAGCCTCACTCCCGAACTGCCACTAAAACTAAGCAGGAAAGACTTGGCTTCTTGCAGGACACAAGTTTCAGCTTCAAACCAAGGATTAATCCAACAATACCTGATTTTGAAGGACTTTACTGGGCATTTCAGAGGGAAGCAGTAAGGAGACAAGAAATCAGAGAGGCAACGCGTAATAAGCCATTCAAGCTAAGAACCTCCAATCTCCATGGCAGGCAGAGGCAGGCCAGTGAGAAGATAGAGGTGAGATAACTGGATGTTTCTGTGGTACTGCTTGCTCTGATCAAGATGGCACCTTCTTCAACTTATAGCATTTACTTATGGATGGTTAATGTCCTGTGACCTCTGCCGTTGTCTATGGAGTACTGCAGAATTCTAGGACAAACGAGAGAACTAAATTCTACACAAAGATGAGCTATGGCAGCTAAAGCTCAGCCACCCTTCAGTATTCCTAATCACTTCTCCTTCCTCTCAGCCCCTTCCCATGTAAATCCCTACTGATGGAAGAGAGAAGAGTAAGTGTATTGTCCACACATCCCAACTGTTCTTTTTGGTAGACAAAGAACAGAGGAGATTCTGTATTGTGAACAAATACACTGAATGAAGTTCCATTTTTTTCAGGATTCCCAGCAACTTACCAAGATTTCAGTGCGAAAAAGCAATTCTCTGACTGGACTTTCCTCTCTCTCTTCCAACACCCTTCCAGTGCATATTACAGATGCCACTAGAAAAAGGGAATCCACTATTAGGTAAGTAGAAAAGTTTGTTTACAAGACATACACCAACTAATGACCAAAATGGAGAAAAAGGCAGTCCTTTCCCTCATCACATCCACTACATCATTATTTTTCCTATATGTTTCTGTCTTCTTTCTTTACTAATTCCTGCCCTGCCTCACAGTTGATTCGAGAGCTGTACACGTGTATATCTGAAGTTTTGCTTTTCTCCTTAGAGGACTACAGAAGTGAAAATTCCCCAGTAGCAAGTAGTCTGCCAGACCTCAGTGAGCTAGCTCATTATTAACTTTTTTCTTTATAGATCCTCCCAAGATAACAAAAAGGAAGGGGACAAAGAAGGAATATATTGGCTAGAGAAACAGAAAAAGAAATGTCAAGCTATCCAAAAGTCAGTGAACAGCCGAGCAAAAGCCCTGGATCCACATAAAAGTCTGGAGGAAACACACAAAGAGAAGGTGAAACAGAACTGGTCAGTATCCTATTCTGCACAGAAATAACTGTTCATTCTAACTGGAGATCACCAGATAACTCTTTAGGAGGAATTCTAAGAACATTCCTGGTCATTTTTTGCCTGTCATACCGATTCCACGTTCACTTGGGCAATTCCACACTACTCTTTCCAAAAAGAACAGTTTCCTGTAGATTAACATTTGTAGAAACCGATTTGTACAAACAAGCCAACTGGAACATGTAATTTCATAAAGCATCAATAAGACAAGGTTTTCTAAAAATGTAAACACTGGTCCCCTGCCTACAGTCTAGTAGTAAAGCTTTGCTAAGGGTCCATAACTTGCCAGCAATAGAACTTTTTTTGCCCAGCATTCAGAATCAAGAGAATTACCAGAGCTATTTAAAAGACCAGTTACTGCGAATTCCTTCTTCCTGATCAGCTACAGTCAGAGAGAACTTGTAACACGGAAAACTTTTCTATTTCAGGCAAAATATGAGAGAGAGGGCAAAAGAATACAGAAAGGAGCTGGAAGAAATGCAGCTGCGAGTCAAGAACAGACCATACCTCTTTGAACAGGTCACCAAGGTAACTGGTCACAGTTCCAGAGTGTTTCTGGGTGACAGGTTATATTGTCTTTCATTTAAGACAGGCATTAAGAAATCTAGTCTCAAGTAGTTAATGGATAAGAAGGTGCAAATTGTTGCACAGTCTCTTTACTACACTCAAAATAATACATGGAAGGGCCACACAAATATAAATTCCTTCCCACTTCTTGAAAGAACACTCAGACTTACCTCTTGGCTGTAGAGCTTTTCCAGTCCCTAGTACATATTGCAAGCACAATACATGGTCTGATCAAAATTAAAGCTTTCTGCTCAGGTGAGTGGTTAATGGAGGCAAAGAACACATTTGTATGCTAAATGTTGGTAACATTTTTATTTGCCAGATTGGTAAGAATTCACAAATACCGATGGCATTGACTCATGCTGTAACAAGATTTCTATCCTTCCATATAGAACACCTTAATCTTTAGGAACTGGCCAGTCCCTCTGAAAAACTGTAATCTCAGACTACATTAATTTGCAATGTTTATCAGGAGGCAATTAGGATCTAAGATCCGGGATGTTTGGTTTTCAGTTTCTTGAAGAAGAGCTGATATAAAGCTATTTCAGAGGCCCATTCTGTTTATTGAACTTTGCTGTGGTTAGTGCTTACACATTACAAGCAAATAGGCTTCCAGAATTTCTCACAACCTTTTTTTGCACATATTCTGGATCCAAGTGTCAGTCAGGACTCAGACACAAGTATGCTAGCCTGGTACGACTGGAATGCTGTAAAGGCAGCAGGAAAAAGAAGAAAAAAAGAAGCAGGAAAAGGTGAGCTCTGGCTTTGAGAGATGAGAGACATTCTCCTGGTATTCAGTTTTGATACTGTACTGTATGGATGACAAAACTTCTGGATGGGAACTTTGCTGTCCTCTTGTTCTCATTAGGAGTATCAGCCATGAGCTTTAAAACAACATGACCATTATGGGGAAGCCCTAATTCTATGTGCTCACTGTTTAAGTTTCAATTTCATAGGATGATGCTCGTCAAGGAGCAGAGCGTCGCTACAGACAAACTCTCCAGCAGGTTGGGCTAAGTGAAGAATTTGTAAGGAAAAAAGGGAAAGCTGCTACTGACTTGTTGGAAGAAGAATCTGACGTTCACAGGTAATAAAAACAATGCAGTACAGCTCTTTTGCCTTTGAGTAGAAATACTTAACGTGTTCATGAAAGCATTCCAGTTTGTATCACCTAGTGCAAAATTAAATGAACTTCACTCCTCTTATTAAGCATCATGGCTTCTCTAGCTTAACTGCTATGACTGCACTCTATTTCTTATGCATGGGGTAAAGCAGCAAAGAAGCACTGCAAACCATTTCCAGTATTAGACAATCACTATTTCTGCAGAGTGCCCAAGCCTCGGGGTGAAAGGGACAACTGTCCCACACAGGAAGGAGAACCTCAAGAGGAACTTTGTGGAAAGGAAACAGCAACGTGAGATTGAGCAGAAGAATCTGTCGATCGTCTTGACTTTTTCAGTTCAAGATTCTCCACGTTAATCCTCAGGAATTTTCTGGTTTAGGCTGATACCTAAGAATTGCTCTGGGGTAAGTGAAGTTAGTAAAGGAAAAAAAGACCAAATGTTATTTGGAGCGTGTCTTGTCCAATCCAGCAAATACTGCAATCTCCCTTAGTCTTCATAAGCATTCCCCATGTCAGCCACTTCCCTTTCTTTAACAGGAAACAAGTTTAAAAAGCTGAAGCACTACCTTTGGATAAAAGTAGACGTGAAAGATTGAAGAGGTGCATCCTCTAGTGTCAGATCCTTTGTTCAAGCACACAGAAAGGGGAGAATGCCTTTCAGTGTGCTAAACCTTGGCTTAGACATGTATGTGGCAGAATGCTTAAAAAAAAAAAAGAATATGACCTACCTTGAGAGAAGGCTCAGGGGGAATTCCTTCTCTGGTGTTAAGTCTTCATTCACTCATTACAAACTCTGCTCCTTCCTCCCATTAGGAAGAAGCAATAGTCATTCTATACTAGAATATCTCCCATATTTCATTATTAGAAACTGTTTTACCAAAGATGGACTTTGGTAGAAGAGATTAGGTACTTCCTGTTGGCATGTTGCACTCAAATGCCTGGGGCATCCTGAATGGTACAGTTCACACACTAGTGGTCTTTCTTTACTTGACAGTAATAAAGATGTCAAAAATACAAACACTTACCACCTGGAATGTTTTCTGAGAATTATGGTATCAAAGCACTTTGAGATTAAAAGATTTTCAAATGGCTGTGTTTCTGCATTGTCCAATTTCTTTATCAATCCTCTTTTCCTCACTTTTTAAATGAAAGATGTGTCTCTCTTCATCTTCATTACCTCAGTCCACTTCTCCTTACACTGTAACAACAAAGCTTCATAATCAAATCAGAAATACAGTACCTGTAAGAGCTACCATGTCAGATAAAGTTACAAAACTGAGATAAAGACATTTTTTATCATAACAAAGTACCAGATCCAAGAACTTAAGGCCCTGGATTTTCAGGCTGCTGTGTCACACTTCCACAGTCATCAATTCATGCTGATCCATAGCTGGATGCATTGAGTTGCAGCAGTCCTCCTTATTAAAAGACATTTTTAGTTAAAAGTATTACAGCCTGTTCAGCTGACCTATAAAAATGCTGTAGCACAGAAGGCATGTCACTAGAGCATTTGCCACCAACTGATGAGATGGTAGCCAAACCACATCAGATCCTGATTCTCAGGTTCCTGGTGGAGCTTCTGCAAGACTCTCTGCATTACAATACCTTTGATGACAGCAGCATTACCTTTCCATTCAGCTAGGGAACAATATAAATTCATAGCATTCTCTTCACCCAGAAGCCATTATAGGTGTACAGTATCTTAGCAAAACTCTGCATTCTTAGTAATGCTAATCCTGAACAAAGTTTTGTCAAAAATTCAAAACATCTACATGGTAGACTTATTGAAAGAGCTTGATATACCAAACAAATTCTGGATGAAAAAGTGACTGGAGAAGGCAGGAAAAGAACACAGCAAATGAAATTAAATGATACCAAGTAGTACATTTATTTCAGATAGTAAGTCAGCTTCTGACAGTGAGATGTATTAGAATATAGTCTCTGAAGGTAAAGGATGGAAGGAAGGCCTGTTCCTCAAGATACTGCATGTTTGTACAGTGCCTAGCACAATGAAGTCCTGGTCCTTCACTGGGGCTCCCAGGTGCTCCACCAAAACAAGTGCATTAGGCTTGAGGAGAATGGACTGCACAGTTTTGCAATGGCGTTCCACAACATGGGCTAAATGACACCTAAGCAGCAGGCTTCACCTTTTAAGCTCTGCAAGAGAGAAACTTGGTCTGGCAGGTCTTCTCCAGCTCCACTTTTATGATGTATTCTCCACCTACCCACCAGCTCTGTGTGCAGTAAAAGCAATGTTCACTCATTCCACTGCAGCATGGTGAGCCTCTAGGAGGAATGATCCATCCCGCTTCAGTCACCACATATCAGAGGGCGGAAGAAAGAGCAGCTGGTCTCACCCTCCTCTACTCCAATAATGGACTCAGTGTCTGGCAAGTGCAGAGACTCAACACTAAGGCTGGGCTGAGAGTTCATGGAGATGAGGTTCTTACCATGCACTGTAGATTCTTCCAGCAAACTGCTGCCCATCAGTGACTCTATTGTGAAAAAAAAAAAAAAAAAAAAAGAAAAGAGGATAAACCAAAATTCTCATCATGTAATGATACTGCAATACATGATACAGTCCCTGCCTGCCTCCAAGTCCCATAGACTTCTTCCCTAGACACCTACATTATCTGTTCCTTCTCTTTGGGCATCTGGCACTCCAATGGATGGTAACTCCTATAGGTACTGTTTTGAGCCTTAGTGTGGCAGGATCTCATGCAGGCTTGGCTTTCTCTTTAAATAATTCACATGGCAAAATAACCCAGGCTGCTTACAGCAAGAATTCAAAACAAAGGGCACAAATTCCATGCAAAAAAAAGATAACAGATTAATGTTAATTTTAAAAACAGTAAAACTATCTGTCCCCTGAAACTGTATCTAATGTCTTTATACAGAAATACACCTTTGTCTTCTCTCCTAGAAAAGGGGAGGGTGAACAATCCATCCTCATCTCCAGTCTTTTATTCCTTACTGGCTTGTGGTCTCGCATTTTCAGGACAAACATCTTCCCTTCTTTTAGACTACCCACTAATTCTTTCCTGCACTTCTCCCCTGCAGAGAGTGCCCTCCCTTCCTTACCTGGCTGTTCTCGCTCTCTGCTGCCAGCTGTTCCAATTCTGGAGTGGTGTTTCCTCATATGCACATTTCTGCTACCACTCTGGGAAAATGTCTTCCCACAAATTTGGCACTGATGGGGCTTCACTCCTTGGAGTAGAAGGGGCAAAAAACATTCCCAAAATTACCAAATTGTGAATAAAGACCTCATCAACCACGAAGCAAATAATACCATTTTGAAATGGCTTTTGACATCACTGGTACTAATTATCAGTGAAAAAAAAGCAATGAGAAATATTACTGTTTCCTGGAGAGCAATAAGCTTCCAGAACAGAGGATTTAGGTATCACTGTTGCCAGCTGATGGAAATCTCAAGACTAAAGAGTAACAAAATCTGATTCATGAAGGTTATTCAAGTTATCTGGAATCTCTTATTCAGTGACATGGAAATCTTCGATGTACCATACCTAGAATAAAATGACCAAAAGCAAGGAAGCAGAGGCAAGGAAGCTGTCTCCTCCCTCCACACAACAACTTGCAGCATCTGGCTTACATTACTGAGTAGAGACTGGATGGTGACTTGTCACTGTTAAAGAATTTCCATTTTACAGAGCAGAACATCTTTTTCACAATACAAGTATGATGTCCATATACGTGAGCTCAATAGCATGGAAGCCAAGGAGATGGGAAAGAAAATGTGTGGAGAACTCAGGCAGTCCCAAAAGTTGCTACCCCAATAAAATCCCCTTCCCCAAGCCATATTTATCATGTGCTAATGGTATGTAGGATACACTGATGAAAACAGAAGGCAGAAGCATTTAAACACTTCTGAAATACACTTCCATCTAATGCTTTGTCCAATTACATGAATGTAGTATGAAAAAATACAGGAAAAATCTACTCATGGCAGAAATTCACACGAGAGATTTCAGATTTGAATGGCTTTGGTTAATATATAGAGGTTCTAGATTCTCTCTATTAAATAAGAAAATGCCACCTATGAAACAGATATACATTAATGACATTTTAGAAACAATTTTAAAATAAATTTTAAACATATAATTTCAATTTAGAAACAAAATTTAAAAACAGAAACAACAACAAACATTAAAGTGTACAGGCACCACAAAGTTGTGAAACACTATGACCAGAAGTCCTGTAGAAACCAGGGGATTTTTCTTAAAGAAATCAAATTGTACAATACAGATATTTTCTCAGAGACAGCTCAGTGTGTCAAGTGAAGACTCTTACCTGAGTGGACAACCAAATGTTTCCGAAGGCTGGAATATTCGGCAAAGGAGCGACCACATCCCTGTGCCTCACACAGAAAGGGTTTTTCCCCTACAAGGGAAACATAAGTTCTTAAGATGTCTGGATCACAACTTGATCTGATTGTCCAAGTCCCTGAGAAAAGCCTGGAGATCTCTATCCTATTCTCCCTTTTGGCCTTATATGCAACAAAGCTCAGTGGAAATCACACAAATGCTTCCTAAGGCTTTCAAAGCATTCTCTTTATCAGCTTTCAGGACGAAACATTGACATCCTTTCTGAAACACTCTTAGACCATCACTCACTGAAAGCAAAGCAAAGGTCCACTGTTTATAAATAGATCTTTCAAGTGTACAAATACCAAAAAAGTAATATAAAAGTTCCTGGACTATGATGTATCTTCTATATGAAGTTCTTAACAACCATTTCTCTGCTTCACACACTCCCAGAATCCTGTTCCCTTTCTGCCTCTCAGCGCCAAAAAACCCATTAACTGCATTTCCCTTCATATAATATTCTATACTTTATTTCAGATCAGACTGAACTTGGCAAAATCCCATGACAGATGTGTCAGTCATTTATATTTATGAGCGGAGGAACAGTAACTCAAGGCACAATTCGTCCTCATATGCTGAAATTTGTTATTTTTATATATCTCCACAGCTATTTTTGGTTTTGTCTAAATTATGATAAACTGGGAGGTTACTACACTAATGTAATTCAATATGATTTGTCTGTTCTAAACACCCTCTTAATAAAGTCTTAAACTAGAGGTAACTTTTTCCTGCAACATTCCACCAAATAACTCAATATACCGTGTTTAACACTATGATTTCAAGTATTTAACTAGACTGCAGCATCAGAGTAACAGCAAGTCCATAGAAGATTAAGCAAGCTATTTTATTGTCTGACAATAGCTCTTTCAGAGTAAACTTTTTTTAAAAATGCTTCTCCTGTAATTTTGCCTTTAGAAGTCCTCTTGTTACAGTTAATTTCTCAGCTTCTTATTGCTGCAGCATTCAACATATCTGAGTAGAAAGGATCAACACAGCATGTTCTGATTGGTGTTAACAAGCTGAAATATGTCTCAAACACTGATTGTACCTTCTGGGTTGTTATAAATATTTAAAACTTGGAAAGAAGTTATAAAAATTACCATTGACCAAAACAACAGCACATCAGTTCCATCTATAAGAAACCCTAGATCTATTTACACCTGCAGTTTCCTAACACCTTTTGTCTGATCAAACTCTTAATTGTACATTATCAATTTTCAGTTAAGAAAGTAATTAGGTACTCATCTAGAAAGCTACTACTCTGTTGGTTGCAGAACACTCACTCTATCATGGATGACTGCATTTGTCAGCTGGGCCTATTCACTTTTATCCACATTTTGGCTGGGAGCTTTACATGCAAAACAAAATTAAAACTATGATTGCTGTTACTACATGTTCAAAATTTTATTATTGGTGTATATGTAATTTTTATCTCCATCCCAACAACTGCCCCCAAACCATGTGTTCTAGCTAGACTGCAAATTGTCTAAAATAGCAACCTTTTTCCATGTCTCTTTACAAGATCCATACCATATGGTTGTGTTTAAGTAAAGCAGAAGGCATCAACAGCTGCTGGTGGCCCACATAATCTGTGATTTCAACTTTGCTAGAGAGGCCTGGTGCTCTCACAGTTGTCAGTTATTTTGAAACACTAACCAGATACAGTGCATTGTTACCTTCCTAGGCCATCAGGGAATCTCTAACAATATTCTGAGAGGCTCGAACTGGGTCATTTGTTTAAGTGGTATGATAACCCTGAGGCTTAAAAAAAACAACCAACTGACACCACCAGAATATTCTCTATGAACTTTGCTAAATATTAAATTTCTGCTCATTGTCTTTTTCTATTAGACTTTGTTCCTGTATTTTTGCTAGTCATTCCACTGTATCCCTTGCTTCCCTATATTTCTTAAACGTAGTCACTCTACAAGCAGCACAGGTAACATAAGGTAGTCTGATTCAGAGATGTCAGTATAGCTATGACTGTGTCCACCAGGACTCCACACTGGAGAAATACCTAAGCAAAAGTGCTTTTCCAGAATACAAAGCTTCTTCATAAAAAACAATGATGGCAGTGGTGTTAGATGCTGGATGAGCCACCAGTGTGCACTTGCAGCCCAGAGGGCCAACCACATCCTGGCCTGCATCAAAAGAAGTGTGGCCAGCAGGGCCAGGGAGGCGATTCTGCCCCTCTACTCTGCTCTGGTGAGACCCCACCTGGAGTACTGTGCACAGTTCTGGTGCCCTCAGCACAGGAAAGACATGGAGCTGTTGGAAAGGGTCCAGAGACAGGTCACGAAGATGATCAAAGGGCTGAAGAACCTCTGCTATGAAGACAGGCTGAGGGAGTTGGGGCTTTTCAGCCTGGAGAAGCAAAGGCTCCAGGGAGACCTTATAGTGGCCTTCCAGTACCTGAAGGGGGCTACAGAAAAGCTGAGGAGGGGCTTTTCACGAGAGACGGTAGTAACAGGACAAGGAGTAATGCTTTTAAACTGAGAGAGGGTAGATTTAGGTTAGAAATCAGAAGGAAATTATTCACCATTAGGGTCGTAAGGTACTGGAATAGGTTGCCCAGGGAGGTTGTTGATGCCCCCCTCCCTGGAGGTGTTCAAGGCCAGGTTGGATGAGGCTTGTGCAGCCTGGTCTAGTGTGAGGTGTCCCTGCTCATAGCAAGGAGGTTGGAACCTGATGTTAAGGTCCCTTCCAACATTAGCCATCCTATGACTCTACGATTCACTAACTAGTGAGTTCCCTTGGGAATAGTCTAGATCCTCCCCTAAACAACATCCACCCTTCCCTACATCAAACAACTGGAGGGGGGAGCGGAATCTTCAGAGTCTGACTAGACTATAGCGTCATCATGTAGTACTGGAAGGATGACATCTGTGCAATATTATACAGGATAGAAAAGGGGTAAACAGTTCATTAATTTGACCTATAGATCAATGTGAATTGATAGAAAAGGAGTATTAATGAAGGGCATATATAAACAACATACTATTTTCAAAAGTTTGAGGACAGAGGAAGAAGTGGTTTATTCTTAAAGACCCCACCTCTGCAGCACACAAAAAGGAGAGCTCTAAAACACACCAGTGTGAATTCGTAGGTGGTTCTTCAGATTTCCAGCTGTTGTGAACTGCTTCCCACAGCCCAGCTCCGTGCACACAAAGGGTTTTTCACCATTGTGAGTCCTCATGTGCACCTTCAGTCTCTGCAAGACATAGAAACTTTTTCCACAGCCTTCTGCTGGGCAGGTGAAGGAGCGGTCGTTCCTGGAAATCAACAAAATAGCTGTTTCATTACCAGCTGCTGCAATGTATTTTTCATGAACACTCAACTTATTGTTTTTTATTGAATAAATTAATTATATCAGAAAATGGAGAGACTCAACTGAAGTGAGTGACCTAAATCCTAAGGAATAAGAGTCTGGGAGGTCCACTGGAAGAATTTCTTCAGGTATTTGTTCAGAATTTGTTCATCTTTTCATCATATTACCTTGCCTATTCCCTACCCTGAACGATTTAGTAAAGCAGTGTAACAGATCATATAGGAACCTTGTAGAATTTCAGTCACTGGAGGATCAAAAATTACTGTATGTGTACATGTAACATATGCAAACACTGCTGGCCCTGTCTCAGGGCAAGATGATGTGCTTCATGTCTGTTGTAGTCCTTCCCCATTTTTAGGCTTCTCATCTACAATTTACCTTAGAGACTGCCTACTTCTTAGCTAAAAAAGATTAGGGTAATTTGCTACAGCAAGCAACTGCATTCAAGGATCTGTAACAGTATGATAACATCCTATAAGTTCTAATGTTTGCTACACCACAGAAGTGATAGCAACTGTTAAAATACAAATATTCTAAACTGAACACTAACTAGGACCTGCAAAAATATTCTAAGTCTGGTCACAGCATTTCAACACAAATTACCTAGAAAAAGCAGCAGGCCTAGCATTTCTAAGAGTAACACCAGGTTTTCACAGCTTGTCAATGTCAAAAACTAAGGCTATCCCAAATACAGAGCACAGTTTTTCAAAGTCATGACAACTCACAGCTTTACTCCACTCACCGGTGTGTTTTCAGATGATACTTGAAGTGAGCTGGCCACACAAATGTCCGATCACAACCCTCAACTGTGCACTTCAACTTCCTTTCCACACGAGATATATGAGGAATGGGACTAGAGTCTTTTGGTTGCCCATCTCCTGAGCAAAGATGAACATTTTCACCTGGAAGAAAAAGGCCCGCAAAATTTTTAAAAATACAGATTACAGTAATCTGTATGTGTCAAATTCAATAGATAAAACCAGCATCATATGTGATACAGGACTGTAAAGCAAATATGCACCTGGCTACTAAATGTTTACCATGTTCTACATGCTGCTGCCTAGCTCATAACAAAGATCAGACACAGATTTGCAATCCTTACCAGACATTCCATGAACTATGCCAAACAAGCTACCTGGATCAGATCAGCTGCTACCAGATGAAGCTCATCACAAGTATAATAGAAAACCAACGTATCTAAGATTGTAAAAATTGCCTCTGTTATCAGTATCAACCAACCAATTTTAAGTACCAGCCAGGATAACTATTTTTAAAAATATCTTAGTTAAAAAATAGACACTGCATTTGTTTGAATTATTTATTAAAATAAATAAATCCAATCATGTATTCTCCAGAAAGCTGATCTTCAAACCCAGTGGAGCTAAGAAACAACTATGAATTACAGTATGCATTAAAAATAGACACTTGAAAGTGAAAGTTGAAACACAAGCAGCTGCAGTCAGAAAGAATATACTATTTACATGTACCAGAGAATATGTGGATTACAATGGAACTGCTGGCTCTGCTGAAGTTCATTCCCTGAGAAAAACTGAGAAGCCTATTTATGTTGCAGAAAAATTACATTATTGTTCTGTATAATTCTGTCACTGATGATTTGAAGACATGTCAGAATAGATTCAAAGCAAGAGAGAGTGAAAGAGAGAGGAAGAAACAAGCCAAAACTAGAGGCCTTGTATGGAACGTTAAAGTTTTGAAACAGAAGTAGAGGATTTCCTACCATTATTGCTTGCTTTGGCATTCTTAGCGAGCTGTGCCCGAGTGGCAGCAATTAAACTGTCATGGGCCAATTCTTGCACTCGTAGGAACCATGGGGTACTGCTGTCTGTGCTATCATGAGAGAGAAAGTCATTCCCAGAATCTTCTGCTTCATCTTGAACAAATACCAAGTGCTCTGCTGGAGACCCCAGCCCTAAAAAAGAAGACAACTTCATTAAACAGAAGGATAATGTAACAGACAGAAATTTCTTTTGCTTCTCAAGAGACCAGTGTTCATGGCATAAATGCAACAGCTGCACTGGAAAAGTCTACACTGACCTCTACATTGTAGAAAGGTGTTGAAGGCCAAATACTCCTGAAACACCCAGTAATGCCTAGCAAATTTCATGGTATTTCCCCTTCATAAGCAGCAGGGACAGAGTTGTATCTCCTGCGTTCTATTGTCTGAGACCTATCCAGCCAGAGGACAAACAGAAGAAATACCTGCTCTTGTTAGGTTGAGAAGAATAAATGAAGTGCTGTCACTGGGCTGGAGGTCTTGCAATAAACCGGAGGTCTCTGGAGTTGACAGAAGTTCAGATGGTTTCTGTACATTCTGTGCCCTTGTTTCCTCTCCATCAGGGCCCACATTTACCTGGAGACTTCTCAAGACAGCAGATGAAGAAACATCTTTGGAAGAATTAGTGTGACTTGGAGAAGTGAGATCTCTTTCATCATCTAGTGCAGAAAGAGGAATCACAGTAACTAAAAGCATTAATGCACTATGATTAAAAGACACATGAAATTATTTTTCTGGAAATAAAAACTAGAACTTGACAGAGATTGGAGGAGAGGAGGATTTTCTAATTAGTCAGACTTCACTGTTAAAAAGAGAATTTCAACCACCCTTCTGAACTTGTTCCTCCATCCTTGGAACGTCTTATCAGCAAGAGGCAGCCTGTCACAGTGGCACCGCAAAGACAACTCTACAAAGGGCACACTGGCAAAGATCTACCGCACACATTTTACCTGGCAACATGAGTCTGTTGCATTCTGAGGTCTCAGTAACAGGAAGGAGAGAAAGACAGGTGATGTCTTTTGGTTCCGATTCCACCAGTCCTTGCCCCAGTGGAATAGCAGTATTCTGAACAAACTGAACCAGCAGCTGAAAAAGATAGTGAAGATTAGGTCAAGAGCAGCATCAAACATTTAAAAAGGTACTAAACCCAGTCCACTTCTCCTACTGTCTTATAGTAGACACTGAATATAATCCCATGAATACACAGCAAAGTAAATGGAAGCTTTTCAATTTACATTAATAACAAAGAAGTAGTAATTTGTATTTGTCATCATTTCTTTAACAAGCTCTGCATCACTGCAGACTATTCTGAAGGCTACTTAGGCTATATTCCTTTTTAATTATTTCTTCCAAGATAAATTTTACCAATACATGCTACGTTTGAAGGTATATATTAAATTCTAATCCCTGTTTTACTTGATACTTTACTACACTCTAATCTTCCAAGTAAATGCTTCTCATGCTCAGCCTTTGGTACAGGTTTTTTTAAAAAATCATCATCTTAAAATACTTAACTTAAAGGAAGTTGGCCTTTTTAAAATAAAAAAGCAAACAAAGGACTAGCTGCAGAGATGCCTAGCTAATGGCTATTCAAAATAAGTATATAATGATCAAAGAAACAAGGCTGGTATGACAAGGGGGATAACACAGAGAACCTTATTTATCCAAATTAGCTGCTCCTAAGACCACTAAATCCATTTTCCTTAGTGTGAAACCCACCATATATGGAGGAGATTCAAAAAAAGAAACCCTCTGCAACACTATGCAAAATAAGGAGGACTATTGCATAAAGAGGTACTGGATTTTTACTGGGATGCATTTCCTGGGAAGGACTTCGGGACTGAACAGGAGATTTGGGGGTTTTGTTAGGCATTGTTTAAGAGAAAGGGCAAAGGCAGGAAAAGGAAGGGATTAAGGTGGATCAGGATAGGACAAACACAGGAAAAGGGAGAGGGGAGAGTAACAGGCTCATTACATATAAGCAGGAATTTTTCAGCCTAACCATTCCAGTCCATCCTGTCATCTTCTTAAACTCCACTCCTAGCTATTTCCTGAGTGATCAGGCTCTCTAGAGTGTGTGTGTCATATGCTTGTGAACTCCCAGCCTAATTGGCAAGCAGAAGAAGAGGTGTGGGGATGTATCCTGGAGAAACCCATTAAGTTTTCATCTAGGCAGCAGCCCTTTGAAAACAGAATCAGGCACTTTTTGCACTGCCTATGTTCATGTGGGTAAAACTATGAGTGTCCTACCTGTGTTAATCTGTTTGGCACCAGTCACATCTATACAGCATGTGTGTGTGTGCACCTTTTTGAAAATTGTATGAAGCCTCACTAGTGGCTGGATCAAGGACCAGAAATAGGGAGCAGCCCTCATCCTGATGGGTCCAGAAGGTGAGAAATGCCTGGGTGATTCAGGCCAGCAGATTTAGCTATCCATCAGACAGGTCTGGCAATGCAAAAATTACTTCTGGCTAGCTCCTAAAAATCTTGACCTATAAAAAAGGAACCTGACATTTGAAAAAGAAATGGGACTCAGATAAACAGTTTTCTTCACTCCTGAAAGCCTTCTTACCTTTAAAACCAAGTTCAGAGCAGCTAAGCAAAGTGCCTTGTCTACTCATTCTGTCCCCTTGACAACATTGCAAACTTTTGTCAGACTTCGGGATATAATGCTTGACACCTCTTTAACTCCAAGGCACAGGCACAGACATTAGACTTTTCCTACTACCAGTGCCACAGCAGTCCATACCAAAATATTCTGATTTAGCAAAGAAAGTGCTGCTGGGAGTTAGGAGATAACAGCCCAACTTTTGCAATGGACTGAACTAATTCTTTTGTGAACTCCACAAACTCTTTTAACAAACATGGCCTCAAATCCCTCCCCTCTATGGAATTAAGCTTCCAGAGACCAGAAAGGCTGAAAGGGGTCAAGCTGTAACAGATCCAGACACTCCACATTTCAGAGAAAATGCCCCTCAAAAACCACATATAGGAGCTATAGGCTATAAGTTCTGTCAAACAACCTTATTTCTGTACTCAGATTCTCAAAATATTTTGAAAAATGCAGGTGAAAGAAATATGGAAAATAACAATACAACAAAAACTTAAACCTTAAGTTACTATTTCTTATCGCTACAAAACTCCTTGACAAAAAGATCCTACATTCTGCTGTCTAGCAAACAACTGTACACAACAGACTTCTTTTATCTTTGGCATTTAGAAGGAAACTGTACAAGACAGTTATTCAAAAGCTACTACCCTCATTGTGACACATTTTAGCAGGAATTCACACAGAGCTCAGATGGAGTTGTCTGTGCAGTGAGATGGTTCATTGGTGTAAAAAGAAATAGTAAAAAGCAGCATATGTCCATAATATATTTGTGATTAAAACCCAACAGTCATGAATCATTTGGTTCTTACTTTGTATGTTGTGATTCTCTTAGTATTTAGTTTTCAGAAGCACTGGCACCCAACTCCAAAACTATTTCTATAGCAGATATCAGCCTTTTGAGCCTCTCCTACATCAGGAGAAAGTGCATTAAATCAAATAAACTGCCAAGAAAACTTTATAGATTGGACTCTGATTTTTGTATGTTTGTTTCCTCTCATGAAAGCACTGGAAATACTGATACTTCCTTAAACAGTTTTACCTCAACTTGTTATTGCTGGCAGAGCTCTGAAGCCTCAGTTCCCCTGGGCGGTACTACATGGGGACGCCACACACACCCTCTGCCCAGGGGCTCAATTTAAATCCAGAGGCTCCATTTAAGCACAGCCGGTGCTCCCCAGTCTTTCCCTGAGCTGCAGGTTTACCTGTCTTAAGCCCTGTCTCCTGGATGGACCTCAGACTTCTACTCCATCAGCCTCATCTCCTGCTACTCCTGGACTGGACTTTCTGGATAGACCCTGGACCTGGTTCATCATTTTTTTTAGTTGGACTAAAAAGTTGTGACCAGCAAGATGGTTCTACATTACTGGGTTGTCTTTAATTTAAAAAAGCTGTCATGATCCCTACTGCTGCCCACTCCGCTATGAAACACTTGTTTTATGGACTCTTCTATTATTATACAGAAAGCCTTAGGTAAAACTTTCCTCCTACAATAGGAAAGCTTTGCTTCAAACCTTCCACTTTCAAAAAGCAACATTAAGCACTAGAGAAAAGTAAAATGTAGCAGTCACAGAGAGAAGCTCAAAAGAGAAGAGATCCCTTGAATTTTCTTTGTAAAGTAATAACAAACTAGTACAGACAATTATAAGGGGCAAAAGAAGCAGAAGTAAACAAAAGGACAGGAATCACGCTTGTTATTTAAATTTGGAATAAAAATCCCTACCCCTTCCCATAAACTAAAGCAATCCAATCACCAACTCTACATAAAATAACTCAGACAAAGTAAGAATTTTCATGTGACAGTTGTACCTTGATAGCCAAGTAAGTACTTCAGAAACCTTCCTGTTAAAAATAATGTAATGCCTTTGTGAAAACTACTGCAACTGGGATATGGGAAAAAAACTAATTGCAAACACTGTGTGTTGCTTTCTTAAGTCTCTTCGTTTTGCAGCTGAAAGCAAATAGGAAATTGTAAAGGTATCTGGTAATTGGCTATTAGCATACAGACAGATGAGGAACAGGAGAGGTGATAAATATGCAGATACACAAACTTTAACAAACTGCAGATAAGGGAGAGTAACAGAGACTAGAACTCCTAGGACAATGATGGATGGGCCATTATAAGAATGACTTGAGTGTGACCTTGAAGAAATTAAACCAGAAACTTTGTAAGATATAGGAACAATATTATCATGGGTTACAAGAATACATGTCATAGGCAAAAACAAACTTATGGGATACAGGGGAAATTCTAGGACCAGGTAAAACTTATTAAGCTGTCTTAAGAGGAATCTGTGAGAAGGTGAAAAACTTAGGGATGATCGGAGGAAGGATCAAAGGTGGGGAAAAGGAGGGATCAAGGTAGATAGGAGAAGAACAACCATGGGGAACAGGAAGGGGGTGGGTGGTAATATTGGTTGACCACATGTTAGGAGGCTGCAGGTCAGTACACTGCTCTTCCTTCTCACTGCAGTCTATTCCACCTTCTTCTCAAATGTTGTTTGCTCCCAAATAGTTTCCAAGTATGTTAATCTAGTTAACTTCAAGTTGGACTAGCTTGTGAATAGAAAGAAACCACAGTTTGGAAACCCAAGATCCTGGCCAGAGGCTGGATTAAAAAGCTCAGGTCCTGGAGATGGATACTGGAAGGACTCAAGGTCTGGCAGAGACTGGACAGATCCATGACTGAGTATGCAAATCAGCTGCGAGAGAGCACCTGTGTGATATGCTAGCAAATTTCAAGCCTGATTATCTGATGAGTAGGAACAGAATTAGATCATTTGTGGTGTTCCTGTACCGTGTGAATGTCCTTTGTGGGTGCCTGTAAAGGTGCTGTCCTGATATGTGTTAGTGTTTACAGCCACACGTGTCTGTACTGTCTACAGGCGTGTATTTGCAGTCAATCTCGCTTCTGCCTCCACTTGGGAACAGTCCCTGGTCCACCAGGGAAGGAAACTCCTGGATGCTACAGTTAACCAGGCATCATAACCACATAACACCTGGCATTCCAAACAGGATCTAGATGGACTGAAAGTATTCCTGAGATAGCAACTATGGAATCCCCATATAAGGAGGGGAGTCATCCATCTGCAAATAGGACCAAAGTGCTAGAACTTGGAACCAAGCAGACAGAACATCTTGGGGCACCTGAATAAGAACAGTTAGGGAAACAGAATGCACAGAATATTAACAGAACACAAAAAATTTAAGATGGATAAAGTAGCTTTACTCTATAGCCAAGATATCCTATGGAATTTGAAACAAATTTTAATATTAATTGCAAAAAGACACCTAAACTTAGAGATTCAAACTTTATGGGCCAGATATGAGTCATACAGAGAATCTATAAGCCTTGAAGAGACAAAATGAGCAAAAGTTCAGCTGCATCTTGCTATGAAGAATTTTATTTTCAGCTCTGCCATGCCACCTTCTTGAATATACCCCTTTTACTCCTTCTGCTGAAACCCCACATAAGTCTGAAAATCCTGTAATGTAGACAGTCTATGTACTAAAAATGTAAAATATTTCTTGGCTCTTGTTACTGAACAAATAATTGTCATCCCTGCTGTTCAACAAGAGCTGCTACAGTTAATCAGATCTCATAACCACATAACACTTGGCTCCCAAACCAAGGTCTATGACCATAAGCACTGTGGAATACTTGTGCTACCAGTAAGGCTCAGATAACTGTCCCTCAACCAAGAGGGGGGAAAAATAAACATCAAAAGTCTGTTTAAAGAACTTGAAACTCTGCTAGAGATCTTAAAAATAACACAAAACACTACAGAACAAAAGAGAATATGGCCACCTGGGATGGATCAGACTGAAGTTTGTGTCCCGTAACACACCCCTTTCATCTGATTATTCAAAAACCAGGAAGGGTCAGGCAGCTGCTTTGTTTGAGGTGGAGGTGGTTGGGGAAGGCGGATTGTGTGACTGGGGGGAAGAAGAGGGACATAGAGGTTGCTCCAGTGCTAACATTCTGATGTATCCTCCCATCGCACAGCTGAGAGCTAGACTGGCAGAGCAGCAGGGACTGTATTTTTAATCGATACTGTTTCTGTTCTAAATGTAACCAGTGAACCACTAAAAAATAAAGAGCTTAGAAGAACATTTAGCAGAGAGGGAGGGTGAGGGGGAGGAGAGGCTGCAGCTTAAGGGGGTGTGTCAGGCCCGAAGCTCCTGAGCTAAGAACTAGGATACCTTCCTCCCATACAGCCTCTGGGGAATCAACTGATTCACCAGAGTCTTTCCTTGTGGGGTGCTGATGAGAAAGAGGCTGAAATACTTCCTTCCATCCCCTTTTCAATAGCCAATTCAATGTACAGACCAGAGCTGTAGTTCACTTGATTGTGCAAGAGCTACCCCTGTGCTGTGGACCATTGTGGTGGAGGTGGCTAGAAATACTTGCATTATAACAAATCACCCTGAAGGCTTAAGGCATGCAAACATCGATCTTATCAGTTCCCTAAGGAATGCTGGCAATACAGCTTTGGGTGCAGGGAGTCCAGAAGAAAAAGCAGATTCATCTGCTCACACAAACTGTCTCCAAGGGACTTTGTAACTTCCTATGAAGAAGGGAATATTCACGACTACTCACGTATTAAACATTTACTGGCACATAAGTGGCTTCTTTAAGGATAAAACCAGTAGCAAAGCAGCTTATGCAATCCATCCATAGTGCTTTGATTCATGTTTTCTAGTTACGTTACACAAATACAATTAGCTCTCATTCAATATCTTTCTCCCATAGTAGGGGATATGAAAGAACACCTGTGGCTGTAAGGTGTTATGGCTCACCAGAGGATATAAAATCATGACTGATTTTCAGACTCTGTCACCTTTTGGTGTAAAGGTGTAAAAAGGGTATCTACATAGGCACATAGGGTTTTACATCACAGGAGTAGAAAATAGTACAACCTTAACAATCAACTTTCACAATCAGCACTAGAAGGAGGGTGTGTATAGGTTTGGTCATCCACAATGCAAATGAGCTCAAATTTGCAGTATAAAGTAGCCACGACCAAGACTGAGGAACATGGTTTAGAAGACTGTTTATGGAAAGGATACCCTCTGCATCCACTCTAGGTTTCATGCATAAGGCCAGTTCCTGTTGAGAATGGCCTAGTCTGGTCTGGGCTTGCTGGGAAGGAAATGCAACTCTGCTACAGGGAAACAGGACTATTATGCAAACACATCTAATTAACAAATACCTTACTCAAGCCAGAAAAAATACAAGACCCACTTGCTCCTATTTGAGGAACAAGGGAACAACATTCCAACTAATCTGGTCCTTGGCTGTCAGAAATAATCTATGGGAATCCACCCACTCACAGACTGAAGTAACAAAGTCCCCCACCTTGTCACTGAGAACTGGGAGAAAATTTGATAGCAGTTGTATCAACTGTAAGGCAAGAGAAAGAAACTCTTTGCAGCCCAAGCCAAGACTGCCAAGTCTCAGGGCTACTATGAGTTTGCAGCTGCTTTACCTGAATAGTATTTGGAAGGACTTTGGCTGCTCCATTAAGAAACAAATACCTTACCACATCACCCAAATCATGATGAATTACCAACATATAATCATCATTCTATTTGGATTACCAGTTGATGATACCTACTATATTGCATATGGACGGAAAATGGATAGAAAAAGAAGACTCAATAAAACAATTCTATTTACACATGTGAGCTTTCCCCACAAGGTACTTCATACTAGTACTAAGTCCTCTGCTTAAGGACCTTTGCCTTCTGAAGAGGTAAAGCTGAGAACCAGAAAAGGAAGGACATGGACTGATACAGTCCTCTGCATTTCTAAGCAGGGAATGTACGGACAGCTGGCTGATGGCTACTCAGCATAAAGGATATTCAACCTTAAAGACAAAGGCAAGAAACAGGAGAGGCAGTAAATTGAACATACTGATACAAATGTGTTGAATGTAATAAACTGCAGACAGTTGTATCTAGCAAATTACAGGTCAGAGTAACAAAGACCAGAACTCCTCAGACACAGATCAATGGGCCAATGATGAAGTGAAACCTTGAAAAGATGCAACCAGAACTTTTGTAGCTGATAGGAAAACAAAATTGTCTTGGCTTATCTAAATGGGTCTCATAGAATCATAGAATCTTAGGGGCTGGAAGGGACCTCGAAAGATCATCTAGTCCAACTCCCCTGCCAGAGCAGGGTCACCTAGAGCACATCACATAGGAACGCATCCAGGTGGGTTTTGAATGTTTCCAGTGAAGGAGACTCCACAACCTCCCTGGGCAGCCTGTTCCAGGGCTCTGTCACTCTCACAGTAAAAAAATTTTTTTCGGATATTCACCTTGAACCTCCTATGCAGGAAAGACTAAACTTACTATGCGATGTAACAGAGACTGCAGGGTGTGTAAAACTTATTCTGAAATGTTTAGGGGATGGATCAAAGAAGGAATCAAGCTGGGTAAATGCAGAAAGTACCATGAGTGGTGGGAGAGGAGAGACTCCAGCTGGATGTTAGCTGACTGCTGGTCAGTACACCACTGGGTCCAATCACTGCAGTCACTTCTGCCTACTCTACTAAACATATTCCTAAATATTGTTGCCACAAGCAAATGTACTGCTAGTGAACTTCTAATCTACTCATGTGTGAGGACTGAGTAACCAGTCTGGCAGAAAACAAGATTCCAGTCAGAAACTGGATAAAAAGCCCCAAATCTGGCCACAGAAAGACTTTAGGCCTAGGAAAGACCAGAGATATGTGTGAATGTGGGTATGCATGAGAGTTAAGTGATGAGGGTACAGATATATTCCACCAACACACTTCAGTTTTGTTCATACTGTTTCTGTTTACATCTCAAAGGTACTTTACTTGTGTGTTAATCTGCTTGTAGCCAGCTCTGTGTGCACAACACATCACTGTAATTCACACTCAGCCGTGCTACCAGCTGAACTTGGGCATGGTCCAGCACCCTCACATCAAGCAACCAGGATCCCCTGGGTGCCACTGCCCATCACTGCTGCCAACTGCCTAATGGAAACACGAGTACTTTAAAAAGCAGAACTGGCTGCTGCTAACAGAATAATCCAGACTCCCCAAAACCAAGTCAAGTCAATTTGGTTTGAGGGAAAGAAGTAGTTAATACAGTAATTTATTTTATTCTTGTAACACAAAGAATGTTATAATAGTGAAAAAAATTATGTCACCTGAGAACAGGCAAGAGTATTGGCTGACAAGTGAAAGGAGGGGGAAAAAACCCGTCATATTCTTTAATTTTAAACCATTAAGTCAAAACATAGAAGCATTAGAAGATGCCAGTGAAAACATTCTAAGAATTAATATGTAAACAACAAACTGAGTAAACTCACAGAACTTTTCTGAAAAGTTGCCCATAAACATTCCTGGGAAACCAAACCCAGTTCATAATTGCTCACCTCAGGTTTGGATTCTAACTCATCCGATAACATTGATTCAAGTGTCCGATTCCTGCAGCTGTCCTCAGCAAGGCACAGGTATGGTTTTAGTTCAGAAAGAAGAACACTCCCTGCTTATTCTCATAATTTCCTAAGTGTAAAACAGTGTGATGGTCCTTCTGCAAGAAGCTGTGTTGCACGAATATTCAATTTAACCTAAAACAACAAAAAAAGGAATGTAAAGAGACAGGAACCAAAAAACATAAGCAAAGGAAAAAGGAGTGAGCAGATGTTGGACTGTAACTGTAAAGAACACTTTGAAGTACTGGGAAAACTCATTTACCCAGGTTTCTGCATTTCTGTTGTCACTGAGTCAGCAAAATAACATCTGAACACTGCAAAATGAATTTTCAAAGGGGTTTTGTGTGGTGTGTTTTTTTTTGTTTGGTTGTTTTTTCGGTTTTTTTGCAATAGCTCATTTCCAATATAAAATTGTTTTCTTTCTAGTTGAAACTTATGAGATTAACTGGAAAATCACATAAAGCTTGCAAGAGCGAAGAAGGCTGAATTCCCAGCCTGCAAAACAGTGGAATTATCCAAATTGTTGAAAGGCAACCGTATACTGACAGGAAGCCTCTGTTTGTTCTGTCTGTCAAGACGTTACATTTCTGATTATGAGAAACAACTTCTAACCTACCTCTGTTCATCAACGTATTTAATCAAAACTCATACAATGCTGTTCTTATGGGCTATGAGAACAAGTTTGCATCCAGTTTTGCCTCCTGGGAAAGCACTCAAGACACTATGGGAGGGTCTTGAGTGGAGAAGAACTGAATGGGAGAAAAAAGTAAAGTACGTATAGTTCTTCCCCTCCTTCCATCACAATTATGAAGCCACTATACATATTAAAAATAATGAAAATACTGATCAGTTAAAAAGAGAACCTAAAAGGCTTTCTCTAGTACTCCTGACAGCAAGCAGTGCCGGCACAAAACGCTGTCCAGGAGCCTCGCCTTCTGCCGCGAAGGGACAAGATAACAAACCCCGGGAAAGCAGCGCAATTCAGACCACCGCAGGCCAGCCAGGGCTCGGGAACATTCCCGCTTGTTCACCCGCTCCCCCCAAAGGCCGGGCGGGCCCCGAGCGGCCCACGGGGACAGGGCCAGGCCCGGCTGCCCACCCCCCAGCCGGGAGGGCACGGGGCAGCCCAGCAGGCACGGGCCAGTCATGGCGGGGCGAGAGGCAGGCAGACCCCGGGCCGCAGCGCCGAGGCCCGG